GCTCTATAAAATTAATTGTCTATGAAAATGAAATCTCATGTGTAGAAGGCTGAGGAGATGAGAACATTCTTTTTTGAAGTTAAAGAATTGAGTTTAAGGTTCTAGCTTTTACTCATCAATGTTCACAGTAATGTCTATTTGTTGTAAGATGACTTTCTTCTCACAGGCTCTAATTGTTTTTACTCCAGCAAATTGCTGAGAAGTACAGTGTAAGAACATTTATGAGGCAGGGTGATAGGGCTCCCTAGACTCATGACAAAATAATAAAATAAAAATAATAATAAAATAATAAAAAATAATAAAAAAGTCATTGTTTTTAAATGTACATGCACTTTTTCATATCGTTCCAGCACTCCTCTTATATATCAGCATAAAGGCCTTCTGTTGTCCACACTGAGTCCGTTTTCAAAATCTCATATTAGACTTAAAATAACCAATGACATTACATAACAACATGCATAGAAAACAAAAGCAAAACAACAAACAAACAAACAAATTCCACAAATTTATTATAAGTGGATTGTATTTTGGGTGTATCAGAGCATCATTGTTTTGTATAGGATTTCAATGAGAAGGCCAGGAATATACTTGCTTTACTGGAGAAATCTCTGAAACCCAACTTGTTGAACAGATGAGGTTGGGTGCATTCAGGGCAGTACAGCTGTAGTCATTGTTGAGCAGAATCCTACATCAGGCCTTATGAGAGGAGGTACTGTTAGATCACAAACACAAAACAGCCGATCCTGTTTGAAGATAGGAGATTATGGTTTTCCCACCTTTTTTAGCCCTTACTTAGAATTGTGTAACCCTTTTTTTCCCATTTTGGTTATTTCTTTATGAGGTCACCAGAGCCCCAAGATTGCCTTTTTCTTGTACTTTGTGTTTCTTCATTATTCCCCTAAAACTCACTTCCCTTTCAAGTGACTGATTGTACACTGTATTAGTTCTTTTACTATTAATTTGATAAAACCACACAACAAAGGCAACTTTTCTGTAGGAATTCCTGTAGCCAGTAGCCTTTAAGTTACCTACCCAATCGAGAGTGGCCTCATATACTATATATACTGATGTAAAGCATGTGTCTGGCCTCTCTCTCTCTGTTTTCCAGCTGCTGTGATTGGTTGCTGTTCCTTGGTTGAGCAGAGATTTGATCTGTGGGTCTACCCCTAAATAAATAACCTTTTATTATACTCAATTATATTCTGAGCTAGTTCAGGGTTGCATTTTTAGCATCCTTTATCATCTGGCGCCCACATGAATTCAGACTCCACACCTAAAGGTTGAATGGCCTAAAGGCCTAAGTGGTCCATGGTCCTGAAAGTCTCCCACTTCCACCCACCTTTATTGATTTTACATGAGCAAATTTTTGTAAAAAACATGTGCCACAGCAAAGCTAATTGCATGCAGCAACTTGAAAATTTCCCAAGCTCATGCACAACTCCTCCACTACTGTATTCCCTCCAGCGTTCCCTGCTGTGTGATGACTTACACAGCTTCTTATTTGTACTCCCGACTCCTGAGTTCTGGGCTTCTCACTCTGTGTACGGTATTGATAGGTATTGATATAATTGCTTTTAATTTGTCAAGTAAAGCATATTTCTCAGTATTTAACCAGCACCAAGGATGGGGACACCTAAGCAGCTCAGGACTGTTCCTGGCACCAGGTTGTGCCACTAGTCACAACTTGGCAACTAGGACATCTGCTGAACACTAAAGATTGTTACACCTAAAGCAATTTACTAGATCTCATAACAGGTAATTAATAAATCAATAAGCTGAAAAGTTATATAATGGCAGATAATATTATCCTTGAAACTTTTAGTAACTTTTTTGCTAATACTATGGATTGTGTTCTGCAAGGCTAAAATGGTTATTGTGACACATCCATTTATTGGATATTGGTACTCAGTTTTTTCTTCATATTGTACCTTTAAAAACATGGTTTGACAATAGGTGCAAAGAATGTGACACTTTTAGAAATAATACAGTCTTTATAGACTGATATTAATCTATTAAAAGGAAAATTCAACACTCTGGAGAAGGACACAGCCAATTTGACAACCAAAATCCAGTCTATGACAGAGGGTGCTCAGACATTGTCTGAGAGAATTCATACTATCGAATGTATTAATCAGACTCTGTCAAAGGGCTATGATAGTTTGACTAATATAATGTCTCTCTAGGTAAGGTAATATACATGCTATAAAAATTATGTCCAAGGATGAGATATTGTCTCCACTGGACAGACTTCATACTTTGGAATCCTTAATGAGGGCATTCGAACAAAATACTAGACAAGAGATCCAGACTTTACAAAAGGTAGTAGCAGATTTGAAAAGATTGAGGAATTTATCTAATTTGATGACCAGGGACAAAAGGTACAAAGACAAAATTTAGCCTCATCAGTATGTACCAAAGTCTGGGATAGCTTACCCAGAGTTATTCTGGCCTTTCTGGGGATATCATCAGAAAAAGCATCTGGCACAAAATACCGCAAGGTAGCCAAAGAATATACATGGGAGCCTATACATATGACTGATCTAAAAGAAATTAAACAAGCAATTGTATCTTATGGAATATATTTGTCTTTTGTTAGAGAAATGGTCAAAATGTGGACTTTGAGTAACAAGGCAACACCACAAGACTGGACTCAATTAATCTCAGAAGTTCTAGAATGTGTACTGCAGTTGCTTTTGGCAGTGCTATTGGAGAGAAGAAGCCAAATTTTTAGAGTAACAAGGAAAGGGAAAAAGACTGGAGATTTCCCAAGATAAAATTCTGGGCAAGGGATTTTACTCTGATCTTTAGGACCAAGCTCTTTACAATGAACACACATTGTTCCTGTATAGCACAGCACATTCAATTTTTTGCGACAGGATTGGGGAACTAGGAAAGAGAGTTGAATCATATATTTGGGTTAAATATGGTCAGAGAGACACTTTTAGTGACTTTTTACAAAGATTAACTAAGGGGTAACTGACTCAGAAGTTAGATGTGTAATAATTGAATCTTTCACTTATGAGAATGCCACCTTAGAATGTAAAAGAGTCCTTGGGCCTGTAAAGATCAGATCAGCACCCATGAAATGATTGGATCTTGCATATAATGAATGTTGAGACACTTGACTATGGTACTGAAGCTTGGGTAGGAGAAGCAGTTTCCAATGGTATGAAGAGACATCAAAATACTAAATGTTTTAATTGTGGTATAGTGGGGCATGTGGGACGTGATTGTAATCAAGAATCTCTAGTAATAATGAAAGAATAGAAGGACTCAGACTTCAGGTATATGTAGGAGGTATGGCAAGGGTCAACACTGGACCAACGAGTGTAGGTCAACAACAACAAAAAAAAAAAAAACAAGGCAATAAGGAATTACAATCCAGTCATTCCCAGCTACTGTGTAAAATATGTCTCACCAGGAAAATTATAAAAAATCCACTGCCGGCAACAAAAACTACAGAGAAACCCTGTCTTAAAATTCAAAAACAACTACAACAAAAAATCTACTGCCTATCATAAGAAACAATACTGGTTAGGATGATAGAATAAAGGTGGAAGATGAGTCAAAAGCTCCAGCAGGATATATAAAATGTATATTCTAGCAGACTTCTATAAATGATCAAAGACGAAATCTAAGATTGTGTGTAAATGGCATTTTTATTGAAGGCCAACTAGACACAGGTGTGGATGTAAGTATCATTACTCTAGAATCTTGAAATCCAAATTGGCCTCTTCAAGAGGTAGATGTTCAGTTCCTAGAAATTGGAACCCTTTCTCAGGTGAAACAAAGCATGGGATTGGTGGAATACATAGGGCCAGAAGGGTAAAGAGGAAGACTGAGGCCATTTGTAGCCAATATTGCAGTCTATTTGTTGGGTTGTGACCTATTGCAGCAATGAAATACCAATATTAACATTCCTGCAGACCCCAAAACTTGTGTTTCTGTTTCAAATATTAGAAGATACTATAAATGACGGACACCAGCCATTCAGGCTGTATGAGAACATAATGCAATTAATAAACTTTCAGAGGTACTAACAGCCCTGCCTTTATAATAGTTAATTGAGAAACCGATATGGATTAAACAGTGGCCTGTAACTGAGGAAAAGTTGATGGCTTTAGAAATGCTGTTACAAGAGCAATTAGATGCTCACCATATTGAAGATTAAACCAGCCCTTGGAATTCTCTTGTATTTGTTGCTAAAAAGAAATCCAGAAAATAGAGAATGGTGACAGATCTTAGAGCTATCTGCAAGGTTATTCAATGATGGGCTCTCTACAGCCTGGAATTCCTCTGCCTTCTCTATTACCAAAAGGATGGCCTCTTATAGTTCTTGTTTTATACGATTGTTTTTTTTTGTAGCATGAGGCCCTGCTTGTTGGGGTTTCTGTTCTGCCCAGTGACCACAGTCATTAGGTCCCAAAGAATTACACAGAGGTCTCACTGATTGGGCCATTAGCTCAGGCTTCTTATTAGCTCTTGTGGCTTATATTAACCCATTATTCTTATCAATGTTAGCCACAGGGCTCAGTACTTTTTTCAGTGGGGTCACATCCTGCTTCTTCAGTGATCTGGGCAGAACTGGAAGGAATGGGCTTCCTCCTTCCTAGAATTCTCCTGTTCTCATCACCCTGCTTCTTCTTCCTGTCTGGACCCATCTATACTTCCTGCCTGGCCAATCAGCATTTATTTAAAACATGATTGACAAATTACAGATAATTCTCCTGTACCAGTTTCTTCACTGTACCTTTACAAGAAAAGGACAGAGAAAAATTTGCCTTCACAGTGCCCAGTTATACTAATTCTCAGCCTACTAGGAGATATCAATGGACTATCCTTGCACAGGTAATGTTAAATAGACCCACCCTGTGCAAATATTTTGTCAGAAAGGCATTGAAAATAATACATAGGCAATTTCCTAGGTTTATAATCTATTATTACATGAATGACATTTTTCTTTTTTGATTCAAATGTAGAAAATTTAGAAAGTATGTTTGGTGCTCAATTCAGCAGTACATATACTAAAATTGTAACACTACAAAGAAGTTTAGCATGGCCCTGTGAAAGGATGATACTCAACTTCATGAAGTCTTCCATATTTTTATATTTTTATATGTATCTACAAACCCAACTTACAGAAAGTACTAAAAAAAACCCTCAACCCAAGAAAGCCAACAAAACCCACAATAGCACAGACATCTGACAACCTCCACAAATACAACTCATTGAAGGGAAACACACAAACACTACAACCAAAAAAATAACTGGTATTAAAAACCACTGGTCATTAATATCATTAAAATAAGTGGACTCAATTCACCTATAAAAAGGCACAGGTTAAGAGAATGGATACAAAACAAGATCCAATATTCTGCTGTTTACAAGAAACATGCCTCAACCTCAAAGACAGACATCTACTCAGAGTAAAGGGTTGGGAAAAGGTTTTCCAATCAAACAGACCTAAGAAACGAGAGTGTGTGACTATCCTAATATCTAACAAAATTGATTTCAAACTAAAATCAATCAGAAGAGATGGAGAAGGACACATTATACTCATAAAAGGAACAATCCATCAGGATGAAATCTCAATCCTGATTATCTATTCCCCTAATATAAAAGCACCCATATATGTAAAAGAAACATTACTAGAATTCAAATCACACATCAAACCCCTTATGCTGATAGTGGGAAATTTCAACATTCCTCTATCACCAATGGACAGGTCTACTAGACAGAAACTTAACAGAGAAATAAGAGAACAGATGTTATGAATCAAATGGACTTAACAGACATCTATAGAATATTCCACCCAGACAGAAAAGGATATACCTTTTTCTCAGCATCTCATGGAACCTTCGTGAAAATTGATCACATACTCAGTAACAAAGCAAACATCCACAGATACAAAAGATTGGAGTAACCACCTGTTTCTTATTGGATCACCATGGAATAAAGTTAGAATTTAACAACTATTCCATCATCAGAAAGCCTACAACCTCATGGAAACTGAACAGTCAACTACTGAATCATCCCTGGGTCAAGGAAGAAATACTGAAAAAGATTAAAGTCTTCCTTGAATTCAAAAAAAAAAAAACAAGACACAACATACCCAAACCTATGGGACACTATGAAAGCAGTGCTAAGAGGAAAGTTCATAGCACTAAGTGCCCACATAAAGAAAACAGAGAAAGCTCATATTAGAGACTTAACAGCACTACTCTGTTAAGGCCAGCTCTACTGGGACTGAACAAGCATGCAATCAAACTGGACTCTCTGAATGTGGCTGACAATGAGGGCAGACTGAGAAGCCAATGATAATGACACCGGATTTTGATTCTACTGCATGTACTGGCTTTTTGGGAGCCTAGTCTATTTAAATGCATACCTTCCTAGACCTGGATGGAGGAGGGAGGGCCTTGGACTTCCCACAGGGAAGGGCACCCTGACTTCTCTTAGGACTGGAGAGGGAGGGGGATGGAGAGTGTGGGGAGTCGGAGGAAAATGGGGGGATGCGAGGAGGCAGAATTTTTTAATAAATAAAAAAAGAAAGAAAAAGAAAAGAAAAAAAGAGTAAATTGGCCTATTGGTATACCACATTTTTGTAACGGTGTAAGCGAATGCAGACAGGTTGTCAAAATATAGACAGCTTTAATGGAGGAATAGAGTTAAAGAACCACCGTTCCCGCAGAGACCAGGAAAGCAGAAGCGAGCGCTGGCAGCACACTCGCCAAATTTATAGGAAAACTTTAGTCTGAGGCGAACACGCCCCCTAAGGGGTGGGACTTATCCCTACATCTCCCCCTTTTGTCTAAATAAGACAGAACTAAACCAAATACAACTATATACAATAATAACAAATAAATATAACAAACAATATTGAGAATCAAAAGTTTTGCTAAACATTCTATCTCAAGGAGTCTAAATAATGTAGAGAGTAACTACAATTATATAATCTTCAACTCCATCAAAGATCCGAGAAGGCAATAAATATTACTTAACAAACGATCCAAATGTGTAACAATTGACAAAGACAACTGACTACCTGAG